CACACACACACACACACACACACACACACACACTAAAACACTTTATACAACAGGAGGACACTGAAGAACTTGTGACTCTTTCTGAATAAAATGAGCTAAATGTAAAAAAAAAAAAAGTTAAAGTCTCACTGATTGTCCAGACTGTCGTCTCATGTTTTCCCATCTAGATGGATTTAACAAAAGTGCATCAAGTAATATGATAATGAATCTAATTTTTGCACATCTAAACCATATTTGAAAATAATCTGAAATGCATCTTGATTTACGATGAAAGCAGATTTTTAGTGTCTCCTCATTGATTATGCAGCACAGAATGAAGCCATTAAATCCAGAGCAAAACCAATGCTGTCAAGTCTTAAACCGGGTTCCCACCAAATGCGTTTTGAGCAGCAAAAATGCTCCCAATGGCTCCAGTTGGACGCACTATGTTCAGACCAGGACAGGACTAGATGCGCGTCTGAAGAGGGAGCAGTGTCTTGGTTTATTCCAGTCTGTCTTTAATGATGGGTGAAATAAAGATAAAATAAAGAAAATGGCTTTGTTTTATTTACTACAGAGCAAACGAACGTTGCGCACACCAGATAATTAATTCACCAGATAATTTAGAGGTGGTTTGTTCAGTTAGTTTCACCACTCCAGGAGCTACGAGCTGACGGACTTTTTTTTGTCCCGAGCTCAGGGAGCTGCTGACCCGCATCGGTGCTGGTATCTCCAGCCAGAACWCCAACTGCAGACGGTTGATTTCAGCTAAAAAGAGCTCCTGTCCGTCTCTGTCGGGTTCAGGAAACCGTCACGTGGAAAATTATTCTCTCTGATTGGTTGCTGCTGCACGTCGAGCAGCCAAAGTTCAGTTTGTTGAACTTGAGCAGCCGRTGCTTTGGACGCTCCGCATGCACAGAAAACGCTCTGTCGCATCCTACTGCTACCTTGCGTGCTGCTCTAAATTGGCTAAACGCTGCGCTGCTCCTAGGTGCGCGTCCACCATAGACTTTGCATGTAAACTGGCTGCTTTGGCTGCTCAAAACGGGTTTGGTGGGAACCCGGCTTTACTGTTAGCGGAGGCTTCAGGCAGATAAGATGAAGAACTGCCTTTGAACAGATTGTAAATAGTTTTTTTTCTGTATGATCGTCGATGCAGTGATCCTACTGTTAGCTGTTGTACAGCGAGGATAAGGCGGTATTTATTCCAATTGCCTGATTCCATGACGGCAAAAGAAGAGTTTACAGGAAGTAGAGTCTTCATATAAAGTTTTAACTTAGTCACGCACAGTTAGGATTACATTTAAAGCAGATTATTTTTTAAATGATGGAATCAATATTGTTAGTATTTTTGAGTGTTCTGCATCCCATATTCTATCACTTAAGATTTAATTATTGGAACATAATGAAAATAAGCGTGAGAAAACGTGAATGGAAAGGTCATTTCACTTCTGATCATCTAGATCAGTGGTTCCCAAAGTTGGGGTTGGGACCCACAGTGGGGTCCTGAAAACATCAAGGTGGGATCCTGAAAATATTGTTTGGATTAATTACACTAAAAAATGACAACTAAGAACATTTTTTTGCCTTTTGTTGTTACAAAATAATACGATTAGTGTACTTAATATGGACAAAAATAGCATAATAAATAATGTTACTGTGCTCTTGTTTATTTGACGTGAAAACAATGTTTATCAACCGACAACAGCTGGGGGCACAGGTCTCTGCTGCTGGTATTTTGTGGGTCAAAAGCTGAAAAGTTTTGGAACCACTGATCTAGAGGAGCTGAAAACAGTTCCTACAGTTGTTCTTAACACCTGTCTAATTGTCAACTGCCTCTTCCCCCTCTCCACTCGCCTCCTCCTCCTCTCAGGGTCTGTCCATGAGGACCAACCACCCATTGGCATACAATCAGCCCGACATGGGCACCTCAAGCTACTTCTCGTTCAACATGGCAGCGTTGGCCTCCCTGAACAACCAGCAGCTGGAGGTAAGTAATGAGCTCCACATGCCTCTCTCTCTCCCTCTCTCCCTCTCCTGCCTCCTTCCCCCACGGCGCAGCACCCCACATTCCTCAGACCCCACGTCTAATTGTGACAACAGTCTAGCAGCGGACAAACCCGGCCCGGCGCTCTCCTGCACCTAACGGTTCATAATACTCCATGTCTGCGGCAGCAGCTAGTAATACACAGTGACAGAGGGGGGAGGACAGGCTGTCCATGGAGCAGTGTGTGTTTAATGTGAAAGCTGTCCTCTGAAGTGATGAACACACACTAGGTTGTCCCAAACGGGTTTTTGACATGTTCACTCACTTATTTGAGCTTCTTGCTCACACGAGGTGTTAGTTGTTGCAAGTCGCTGGAGGCGGCAGGAGCAAAGCAAACTGTAAATATGCAGGTTGTAAAAGCTAAATAATGAGCTACACAGGCGGGGTAGTTTGCTGTTAGTTTGTCACTGAGTGATGTCTTTTAACAGCAGTTCTGAATGGTGGAAAGTAATGTTGAAAGTACAGGGTGAGTCAAAAGTCACAGGACACCCTTTCTTTTTGATCCAATATGGCGGTTTTTAAGGTGGCAGCCAACTCACCCTGTATCTCTATCAAACTCAAAAACTTTCTTCTGATGCAGGAATGAGGAAAAAAAATCTCCTATTTCTACTTTGTTTCATGTATATGTATTTTGTTTCGTTTGTTTTTTTTTGTTCAGGACCTCATAAACCTCGGGCGTCAGAAAGTCATTGAAGCAACAAATTCTTTGAAGTCCTTAGTTCGGGAGTCACTGGAAGATATAATAGCCAGAGTGGTAAGTTTCAGAAAAACAGCAGCTCAGCCGTAGAAATTAGTTTTGATCGAGTTTCTCCGAAAACCAGTTTTTATCAAAAGCTGTGTTTTCCTCAGTTGTTCATACATGAACTGTCCCTGTCTTCTTCCAGTGGAAGGAAAACGCGTCCCTCACAGAGAGTGAAGTCCAGTCTTTAGCTTTGAGGCACCAAGCCACCGTGGAGATCGAGGTCAAGCGCAGAGAAGCTGTTTACAGGGACGTTCTCACCAAGCAGCAATCTGTAAGAATCATCAATTATACTTTGTCTGTATTTTCAGATTGTACATCCAGTTTCTAACCTGACACCCAAGGCTTTAAAGATTTTTGTAAGATTATCTAGGAAACGGCATGTAACTTTAGTAAAAGTAGAAAATACTTTCAGAGACATTTAGCTGGTGAGTGGACAGTCGGTTTGTCAGATAAACACGACTCAGACACAGTTGATGAAACAAATAATATCAAATAATGTTGTTTGTTCTAGTTCAGAAATAACTGCAGCGTTTTTGCTAACTTTGTTGAAGCAGTTAGTTTTTTTTTTGTTTTTAGACCTAAAACCTATATTTTTACTCTCCGTATTCATTTGTTTAGAGCAACTTGTGACACTGACAATGTTTTATATGTCAACCTATAAGTCTTTCACTAAGCATCTTAAAAAATGACTTGTTGACTCTTACTTCTGCCAACGCTAAATATAAGCTGCATTTGATGTGTTGTATTGTTGTTTTTTTATGATTAATTTAATTTCCTGCTTTTATTTATTGTGTGTTGTTGTATTTTTTATTCTTGTATCACTGCTTTTTAACATCATGGCCAGGGGACTACAGATGAAAAATAGCCATTTGGCTAATTCTGGCGTTTTTAACCTATGAGTTGTCATGTATTTCTCCATCACAGTTAAAAACTGGTTCTTTGTGTTTTCCCAGCTGATGATGTTCGTGCAGAAGCTGATCACCAACAGGAAGGTGCAGGAGCAGCAGCTGGCTATTGCTAACCAGGCCTCTTACCTGAACCAGCTGGCCATGCAGAATGGCATGGTGGGGTCCGGTGGGCTCAGCCACATGGACATGATCGGGCTGTACCAGCGACTGCACGGCATGGGCGCAAATCAAGGCATGGGCAAGAACCCCGGCCCCTCAAACAACCTGTAGGTCACACAGACTGTTTCTCATTCCCAGCTGGCTCCTCCCCCTCTCCTCTGCGCTCCTCCTTTCTGTAACATACACACTGTGAGGTCAAAACTTATCGTTGGGTCAAGCAGAGGATGAAGAAGTTCTGAGACGAGACTGCTGTCTGCTTGGGCCTCATTTAGAATAGACCGTCCGTGTTGTACTCCGTGATTCACCGAGAGACGGTGGGAAAAAAAAAATATGAATGGCTGCGTGAAAGGCTTGTTCAGAGTTCCAACAGGAAGACATGTATATAACGCCTTAATGTTGTTCAAGTTGTGTAGCTTCTTTTTTCTCTCTCTCTCTTGTATTTAAAGACAAACACCCCCTCAGTGCTTGTAAGCATTGCATTTGTTCTCCCRTCAAGAAGAGTTTCCCAGTTATTTTTAGAGGGTTCTTTTATATATAATCTTTTAAAACACGTGACAGCATCTGAGTGGGACCAATATCATTGGTGATGGGACTCTGGGACAAAAAAAAGAAAAAAAKTCAGATTATTTGTCTCATTTGATTGTTCATGAGTTATCCAGCAAAGCCAACAGCTGTTGGTGCTGCAAAGTCCTGCTCATTTCAGGAAGGTAGGCGAAACTGAAAAAAAATCTATAAAAACAGTAAAAACAGAAAAGTAAAAAATGGCCTTATATTAATTTCTTTAAAAAACAATGTTGTAAAGACTTGAAATTTGTTGTGAATCTTTTTCTATTATGCTTGTAAGTGCTTACATTAGTTGTCGCTGAAGCTGAAAATGAAAATGCTTGTATTGTTCAGAACTGCCTGCCGGCTCTTTCTTTGCATCATCCTTCTTATCGTCACGTGTTGGTTAGCATAGCCCTGTGTTTCTACTTTATATTCGTTTTTTATTTTTTTGTTTTGTTTTTGTTTTTGTTTGGTTTTATTTTTTATTTTTTGCTTTCACCTGCCTGATTTGGGAGTGGCTGCAGCTCACAAAGCACAGACCGTTCAGCCGGATGTCACAGAGTCCAAACTTCGCTCTGTCCCCGTCTTTGAACTTATTAAATATCACTTTCAAGCTAAAWWTTTTTATTTATTTTTTGGGTCCGGTGCTTTGTGAGTAATGCTCTCCTGGATGCTGTAATTTCACCAGGCAGGCACCCAGACTACTTCTATTCTCATCTCCACACATGATGTCTTCTAAAAGCTCAAGCTGTTGTAGCTGTTTTAACAAGAGGAAGATGGACGTTTGTCACCAAGAGGCGCTCGTCAACTCCTTCGTTTGCACAGGGTGTATTTTCTAAAAGTAGAATGAGTTCCTTTTGCCCCCTTCTGTCAGAATGTTCTTACGTTAGCAGATACACCGATATGATTTGCCATTACTGAACTGCTATTATCTTCATAAGTATTTAATATAACATTTAATAAAGTGACCAAACCAATGAGAAACGTGTGCATCTGTGTCATTTTAATAATGCCCATTAAGATAACGTACAGTGGATGGCTGTAATGACTGGATTCATAAAGAGGAATACAGGTGTTGGACATTAGGTTCTTATGGTTGTATTTAATGAGATTTTTGACCAAAAACACTAAAATAGCTGAAGTCAGATGGAAATATGTTAAAAACAGCACTTAATGACATGAAAGCAGTGGTTGTGTATGAGTTAGATAGCACTTCCATTTAGTATAAGAGATATGAAATATACCAAACACAAGACATACAAAAAATGTTTTATTTTCTGTTAATAAATGTATATTTTAAACATTACAAACTTATTTTAGTTAATTAATCACTGTATAGCTTCTCTGATTTKTGACGTTCATCCAGCAGCTTGAACAAGGCACTGCTCACTCAAAACTAGATGATTTATGAGTAAACTGTATTTATTTGRAGTACCATATAAATTTTTAAATACTAAAATATATATTTCCAGTAATACCTGAAGAATTTCCAGGCGTGTTCTTATAAAATGGAATGTTTCTGTACTCTCACTAATTACAGAGCTCGTTCTCGTTTTTCTTCAGCTTTTACATCCATGGTTCTGTATAGATGTGAAGCTGTAATTTAGCCGAAACAGGAAAAGTCCTAGAACAAGTTAGGATCCGTCTGTGGGCTCTACAGAACATGTTCATTTGATTTAATCCACAAAATTAAGCACAGATAATGAAATTTCACCTTTTCAGTTCTGCCTGTTCTTCAGCTCTCGTCAGAACCTGCTGCTTTGCATAAGTGGCCATGGAACCCCCTCCCACCCTTTTGTTTATGTTAGTTCCGCCCCCCTGCCAGAAGTTTAGTTTTACTTTCTTTTCAGTTGAAAGTACTTTTTTTCCAAAGTAGTTCATGGTGAAATTATTTACACAAACATTATTTAAAATTGCTAGAACATTGCCATCAAAAATAAAGTTAAATAAAAATAAAATTTATCCACACATCTCTGTTCTCCATGACTGTTCTAAAACAGCAGAACCGTCCTCCTGCGAGGAAGTGGGCGGAGTCTCTGCTTGGGGTACCAGGAGACGAGCTGGGCTCAGGTCGGGGTGGGCTTGGAGTGCGACTTGTGACATCACAAGTAGCCATGTTTGAAAACAGGTCATTTCAAGACAGAAAAATATGTTTTACTTGTAGTAAAAATGACTTGAGTACATTTTTTTTTTGGTGCTTGGACTGTTTTTAGAGGCAGTACAGACCCAAATGTTAGTAAAAAAAAAAGTGAATTTTGCATATTTGGTCCCCTTTAAATGACATTTAAATGATAACCCAGTGGGTGATGCAGAGTTTCTGTACTCTGAGGGGTCAGTGGATCTTTGAACAAGGCTTTTTAATTTGTAACTCTTGCTGCTTGAATATTTCAAACAATGACATAAAGGTTTCGAGCACTTGCATGAACTGGTGTAAATTACTTGAGTTGTTTTTTTTTTTGTTTGTTTGTTTTTTTTGTTTGTTTTTTAATGTGACGGCAGTTTGTCTTGGCCTCGCTCAGACTTTAGTGCTTTAATAACTGGAAAACAGCTGATTTGTCCCTGGTGTTCCTGTGTTTCACACCCAGCAGCGTTAGGTTTAGGAAGACCTTTCATCTCGTTTCCCTTCACCTGGTGTTGCTTTCATTTTGGACTCTGCCAGGGTTTTCCCCTGCATGTCTTTTCCACCCCCACCCACCCCCCCAACCCCCCCACAGGGGAGCTTGCTCTCACAGTGCACACAGATCTCTGCCAGTGGAGAAACATTACAACTATTGCAGATGTTGAAATGTTGATCCCGTCCTATCTTAGCTCCAGATTACCACCGGCCTGTGGCACGTCCCTCTCCACCGGTTCTGTCCGCAGCAGGGGCCAGCTGTTTCTGTCTGTCGGAGAAGTCTCCTCTGTTCGAGCCTGTGAGGCCCCCACAGTGCACCCCCCCCCAATCACTGCACCTAATCCACACTGATGTGTAAAGCCAATTAGAAGTTGGGATCCAGTTGCATAAGAAATCAGATTTTGTACGGTGGATGTCGGCTGGTCAAGAACTTATGGAGACAGAGGAAGCCTGTGTGTATTCTCTCAGTGGGGGTGGGTGGGGTGTTATGAGCCCAAACTAGAGGAGGATTGTACTGATGCTGCCCTCCTGGGAAAGAATCGACTGCATGCTTTCACGCAACGCTTTTAAAGAGGCACACAAAAAGCCACGTAGTCCAGGTTTTCAGTCGATTTYTTTTGATGCGTTTGCAGCATCTTGAAGAATTATTTGCACTCAATGAACTTTTTCCACATTCGTCACGTTCAAGTATTTTACGTGACAAAGTACCACATATTTGTGTAGTAGAAAAATGGTACATGATATATATATATATATATATTTGAAAAGCATGGTTTGCATTTGAATTTCGCTTTCCTTTTCTGATTCTACAAAGTTAGTTTTTTCGTCAAACCACTTTTTTTATTTATATTTTGCTACAGTTACAGCTGGAAGATTCTTACCAAGTTTTAAAATCTTATTATCCAGCCAAAAAGTTTTTTTGATCTTGTTTTGAGACTGATTTACTAAATAAAAAATAAGAATAAAATGAGTCAAGTCAAGTATTTCAAGAATCTTACCAAGAAAAATTTTCTTACTCCATTGGAAGACAATTTTGACTTAATTTGAGTCAAATTTTCAGACTAACAAGACAAATAATCTTACATATTCTGAAAACAAGATTATTATTCTTACACAATCAGTTCTTGTTTAGTAAATCAGTCTCAAAATAAGATTAAAAAGACTTTTTGGCTGATATAAGATTTTAAAACTTGGTTAGGTGGACATTTTTTGCGATGTAGGCAGTATGTCCCTACCAGCTTTGCACATGTGGACTGAAGTTTTTGTGCATTTTTTGCAAAAATATTTGCGCTCAGTCAGATTGGATGATGCAAACTTTAAGTCTTGCTTGAACAAATGCTACATAAGAAATAATTCGGAAAATACAATTTTTATTTGTTGTATAACATTTCCTTAATTAATATTGACAGAAAGTGGCCRGTTCACTTGGACCGTATTTGCAGTTTTGGCGTTGTTGCAAACATTTTATATCTATGGTTTTTTTTTTTGTAAATTTTTGTAAAAATTCTTATGAGTATATTTATTTGTTTTTCTATCTTCTATATTTCTGGATAGACCGGGACCTTGGGTACAAAATTCCGTTCCATCACATGTATATGTGTTGCAAATGACTATAAAACTTCCTTGAATCCTTGAATCCTTGGACGATGCTTTGACTTTTGGCTCACTTGTGTCTGAGTTCAGCACTCCTGGTTTAAGTGGACGGCCGTGTCTTGGCAGGTTTGCAGATGTGGTGTAATCTTTCCATTTTCAGATGATGGATTAAACTGAGTTTTTTGAGGTGTTCAAAACTTGGGATCTTGTTTTATAATCTGACCCTGCTTTAAACCTCTGAACCACTTGTGTGCTCCTTGGTTTTCATGATGCTGTTTAARACTGTATTTTGATTGAACTAGATTTTTGTTAAGGATATTGGCGTAAAAGGGGCTGAACACAAATGCATGTTCTCGTTTAAAGCCGTGMATCAATTTGCTTCATTTTTATATAAAATCACAGTAAAATATGAGGAAGTCTGTAGTTGGTTAGAAACTGTGGAAAAGTTCAACGGGTGTAAATTTTTTCAAGGCAGCAATGATGTAATCGCTCATGAACATCCTTCAGTCATTAAATCATAATTGGTACATCACARTTTAATCCAAGTAAAAATAGTCTCACAATGAGTTCTTAATAGCAGGACAATTTTATTGTCATGTTTGTTGCAGTTTCTTTTTTTTTATTCCTTTAATTTTGTTTTTATGCCTCATCTCAGTAGAATCTGCAGTCCAGATAACTTCAAGTTCATTACAAAATAAAGTCTTTGCAATAAATAAATATATAGATTTACATTTATACTTTTTTTATATGTAGAAAATAAATATATCGTACATCTCATAAATAGGAACACCCATATGTACAACCTCAGACGCCGGCACTTTCCGTAATGTTCGTGGCTCTCTGAACATTACGAGTCACCACTTTTTAAACTATCAGTTTTTTCCCTCCTTCCAGCCAGAGAAGTGCTTTCATCCCTAAACTTGTACCAAATAAAAAAAAATCAAATCCTGCAGGTTGCTGCTTGATAATCCCATTCAAACGTGATGGATGTGGTGTTTAGGTTGTGACCAGGCCCACAGCTGGGGGACTCGGGAGGTGCGGTGAGTGCTTCGTTGATCTTTTGCAGACGTTCTCCTGCAGATACCTGACTGTCACAAACGACCACTCAAGCGTGCGGCGCGCAGCGTGTGTATTTCTGACCCTGACGTGCAATCTGTCATTGGAAACGTGGGAATGCCTTCTATCCGAGACCTCACCGGAAATGTGTGCAACGCATGACGAGTGCAAAAAAATATGTGTCATCCGTGGCACTTCTTGAAGGAACCTTCCTGTAATCAATATTTGGAGGAAATGTGCTCTTTTGTGTCACTTGTAGAAAAAAAAACATCTGATTTTGTTTTCCTGATCGACCCTCAGCTCATCAGCCTCGAGGATCCTCCTCAGTGGTTTTTACACACACACAAAAAAAAAAAGCTTTCCCTTCTCGCCGAGCTCACAAGTCCAGCGAAGGTGAGCAGTTCCCCGCCAGATCCAGAGTGCTCCTCTTCTTCCTTTTTATTTGTTTAGGTGCCTCTGTCCTCCCCGCCTGTAAGCCCTGGTCACCTGTACTGGGACAAGTCTCTGACCGCCTGAGGGATCTTCTCCACCTCCACAGGCCTGGGTAAGAAGTGGGTGAGTTTCTGGTGTTTTTTAGTCCTGCCGCCCTCCCGGGGCGTACCGTTCTTGTTCAGGGCCACGTAGTAGAAGCGCCCCGTGTCCGTGTGCTTGTACAGAGTCGAAGCGTAGGTGTTGTACCAGTTCTCCTCGAACTGTTCCCTGAACACGCACTCTGCTGTCAGCTTCTTCTGCYGGAGGAGGATAACGACACGTTAGTGGGGTAAAACGGCAACAAATGAAACCACAGAGATGAGAGCAGATCGTACTCCCTGACAAGGGCGTGTGTGCCGTTTACTCGTTCTGTGCTACAAAAAATATGGAGCGATGGAAACTCGTTCAATCAAGCACTCGTAACTAATGAGGGGAAGTCATTACACGCTCAACGCTCCCTCTTCAGACCTCCTGACCTGTCGGGGGGATTTACTCTCCCCTCCCCATGATGCAACATAACCAATCGCTCCAAAAGCCTCGGACTTTACTGACAGAACACAAGACTTTGGTTTGTATCTGCGCAGCTGTGGTCAGCCCATTACGGCCCTGAAATGTTTAATATAACCAAATCTTCCTCCAAGCAAACAAGAAGGGGTGCACCAGTTTGAATTTATTGTTAATGTTTGCTAATCAGACATGGTAGCACAGCAGCGAAACGGCCCCGCAGCCTGATGCTACCACCACCGTGCTTGACTACTACACCGTGCTGGTACTGCATTCCTAGGTTTGAAATCCCCGCTTTGACTCCTTCAAATATCCAGTATACCTTGTCCCGGTGATCAAAAAGTTCAATCTTTGTCTTGTCTGACCATAAAGCTTTTTTTTCCCCAGAAGGCATTTCGGTTGAGCTTGAAGTTGTTCCTTTTGGAGCAAGAGGAACTACCCTTTTCCACTAGTGCCACTTAGTGTAGTGTTGGTACGGTCAGTGTCAGAACGGGTCAGTTCGGGTGCTTTTCCATTGACGTTCCAGTCCGGATCCAGTGGGTGTGTTTTGGGCGGTTGGTGGAGGTGGTTTTTGGTTTTTTCAAAAAAGAGTTAATGTGCAAAATGAGAGATGGAAACACATTTGCCAAATAAGTTCTGAAATTTAAAAAAAAATTGCTAAAAATTCGAATTAACGTTTGATGGAAACACGACTAATGTCGCTGCTACAATTGAAAAAATGGCGCCTCGAGTTGTTGTAAAGGCAGCTCAGACGCAACCAGTGACTCCACCCCCTAGCCAATCAGTGACGAACAGTGTTCTGATGTTGCATTTTGGTGTTGACTGGGGCCACTTGGAACCACAACGAAGTAGGTCCTAAAAACAGGGCTGGTTCCAAGAATCTGGTCTAATGGAAATGGCTTGGAACCGTACCGAWCCGTACCGACACTACACTAAGTGGCACTAGTGGAAAAGGGGCAGACACTAGTACTGGCATACATGTCAAGTTGGACAGATTGTCTGCAAATTACACAGATTTTCCCCATTTAGCATGTAAACAGAAGTAAAGGGCAATATTATGGATTTTTTTTCAAAAACTTTCCTTCAAATTTATTTAAGTTCCAGAGCCGGCAGACAATAAAGACACATTTTTGCCACCTCCTTGTCCGTCCCTTCTTGCTCTCCTCTCCCATTGCAGACGTTTTTCATGAAAATTACGTATTTCTGAGGGTCAAGATACAAGTAAATGCCTGAAAGCGTTGARATGTGCTGTATGTACTGCTGTTCCAGTAGTTTCCAGTTCAGGAGACTTGATCATTGATGGTTTCTGAACAGTCTAACCAATGTCTTCTGCTTGATAGATTTCTGCTGAGTTCTTTAGACTTTTCCATTGTTCTGGGTAGTAGTCAGTTCTATATATGGTACAGATCTAAACCGGAACCTGGAAGTTGAAGTTAGAATAGGACCAATCTTCCCTGCTACCTAGTTTATGTACAAGTTTTAAGTCCCGCCCCCTCCATATCAACAAATGGGACACCTRTGATTTCTTTCAAGTGTTAACTTTTGTTGATTCACATAGTTCTTATCATGCTGCTCTATATTCAGATTTACTTTCACTTCTATGTTTAGTTGTAATTATTTTTTCATGCTTAAAATAAAGCTCATGTAACACRGTGATTGTAGGCGTGCTTTAAAGCCCCACACTGGTAGATGCGCAGACTTTAGTTCTAAAAACACAACATGACAGCTCCTGTAAATCAAACTGCTGTCTTCAGCTCTCAACAACGAGAGAAGGCAGGGACACTCGGTCTATGATGTACACAGTCTTTGGTCAATCCAACGAGGGCTGTCAAACTAAAACTTTTAATACTGGCAAAACATGCCAGCTTGCAGTCAGCTGCGATCACCAACGGGGAAGTTATAGGTCTCGGTTTTCTAATCCTCTGTGGATTAGGACAAACTCACAATGAGTTCAGACTTGTGCACCCGATTCTTGTTTTTATAAATCACTGGAAGTTGAATAATGTTGTGTAACCGTTCCAATGCTTTCACAGTGGGTGTATGTGAACCTCTGACCCGGGTTAAGGCTCTGCTCATCGAGCGAGTTATTAAGAGAGACTGCTGAGTTTGATTTCAGAAGGAGTTTTAATGATTGGCTGTCTGCAAAGACAACCTGAAGAGTCGAGTGACTGGGCCATCCTGAAACACACACGRACGTGTTTGTACTTCTATCCTCATGGGGACTTTGGATTGACTGCCATTCATTTACTTCTCTATCCTAACCCTGACCACTTACCCTAAACCTAACATACCTGAGCCTGAATTCACATCTTAGTCCTAAACCGAGCCCCTGACCCACTAACTGTATGTCCACCCGATGGGGACTGGGCTTTTGTCCCAGTAGGGAACAATGGGTCCTCACAAGGCTGTGTGTACTGGGGAAATGCCCACCAGGTAACAAAAACGTCTACACACACAATGTCTCTCTATCCTTGTGGGGACTTTCCATTGACTTCCATTCATTTTTTGGAAATTTTATATCCAAACCCTGACCGTTTACACTAAAATGAACCTCACAGGTACCTGACCCTAAAACTAACCTAAACTCAATTCACACCTTGGTCCTACCCGGTCCCCACGAGGCTGCATTTTCCTGGAGAAATCATCCCCACCAAGTAGCAAAAACAAGGGCGCGTGCGCGCGCACACACACACACACACACACACACACACACACACACACACA